GGGGGCTTTGTGAGGTCTCAACTTGTGTTTCAGCCCCATGTGGCGGTACACTGACAGGTGGGATTGCTGCAGTACTACTGTGGCAGTAGAGGCTTACCATCTCAATGCTAACAAGAGTCAAGCTTTTACACACTACCCAGCAGCCAAGGAGAAATCCAACGCCGACCTCCAGAATAGGATAAGTAAGCAGTGAATTACTAGCTTTGGCAGTGCCAGCTTGGCTGATTCACAGATTTCCTTTCTCTTCTTCCATTTCACACCTCCTTTTATTATTTTATTTATACTTTATTTTTCAGTTTTACCATGAAAACATGCTGTAACTTTTCCAAGTTTTGTCTACAGTGAAAAGAAGAAAAATCACCAAAACTAAGATGCAAAAACAACTTGTTCCGTATTTCTGAATACAGGACTCAACCCCAACCAAAATTGACATGTGAACAACTATTTGGTATTCACAAACTTTTTACAAATCTAAATTTTGATTAACATGTTTTAGGTTGTGCTGAATTTATATCTCACACGGATCTGGGCAGGTTGTGTTTTTTTTGTGGCTCAGAGATCTTAGTGATAGCCCAGATGAGGAGGCTTTTTCAAATTTTTCCAAGAGAAGAAAGACAAGACATTGAATTATAAAGAGACCATTCCCACAGGAAAAGAAACCAAAGCAATAGAAACAATTCAGCCACAGTGTAATGGTTAGTCCACTGGAGGCGAGCATAGTGATGAACCCAAGTGCAGTTTATTTACCATAAAGACAAACATAATCCAAAAAGACTTGACTTGACTTGAACAGGCTTGACTTGACTTGAACAGACTTGACAAAAACAGACTAGACTCACCGACAGCAGGTTACAACATTAATACACGACAAAGAACAATGGCAACATGAGGGCTATATATACCAAACAAAAAGGGTCACATGACACAAACCAACCAATGGGGAACAGGACACATGACTAAGACAACCAATGAGCAAACAGAACTGATAATCACATGGCAAGACAATAACCAATGAGAACATGACACATGAACCAAGGAACCAATCAGAACATAACACACAGACAAGGGAATCACATGACAGAACATGTCTGTGGCCAAACTACAAAATAAAAGACATGAAAGCAAGAACATGAAACAAACCCCAAAACCCCACGTTACACACAGCCAGAATGGCTTTCTGCTCTCGTTGATGCTCTGAGAGGGACCACAAGCATACCACATGTATGAGTTTGATACAGAGAGAGAAGTGGACAGTGTAATTTTCAAGGTTACCAACATTACAGTCTAGAAAAAATAAAAATAAAATAAAAAATAAAGATAAATTAATAAAATAAAACTATTAAATGAACATTGTATTATATTGTATTCAGTTGTCATATCAATGGCATTATGTTTTTCATTTGCATTATTAAATGAAGTTTACTCATTTACTTAATGTGAAAATATAACATTTCGTTCTGTTCTGTGTGATTTCTGCTGCCAACTCGTTTCAAAGAATGCATAATGTTAAACAAGACTACACTTTAAACCCTTAAAATGAGTAACATTTCTGCAAACGTTAAACAATTACTTATCATGTAACATTTACTTTGTTTGCCGTGGGAAACAAAAGACGTTTTCTCCGACATGCTGTCAATAGAACCATAAAATAGAATAAACCAAAAAATGCAACATAATTAGAAAAGGAATCAATTTTATTTGTGCACAGTAATCCAAATCTTCAGAATCCATATGACTGCGACGAACAGACCCAAACTCAAGCCTTTATTCAGCGATCTTCATCTCCATCCTCAGCAGTGACTGTAAGCATTCATACCCATGCTCATTATAAATTCAAAAATTGCCTTCAAGAAGCTTTACGACAGGAAAATCGAACGCTCATTGGCTCTTGCCTGCTTCGCCACAGATTGTGACGTGTTAGCCGTGTTTCTGGTGAGGTGTTTGAATGAGAAATGTGTGCCTTCATGGAGTGGATCGGGATATTAGTCTGGATAATATTTTCAGCGATTATCAACTTAAATTCTGCTCTGTGCCTCACACAAAACTTTAGTGTCCCATCAGAAAGGACTGTGACTGCAACGCATCATCATTTGGACTACTTTTGGTACTGCTTTTGACATTTTTGCAATAGATAAATGATTGTGATTGCACTTATGTCTGTCATGTTTCTTTATACTGCACACACATACACACACACACACACACACACACACACATATATATATATAAAGAGTTATGGTTAGGTTCAGAGGTAGGAGAGGTGACTCAAAATATCTTTTTAATGCTATATTGTTACTAAAATGGTCATTTCCCTGTGTATTTTGGTCTATTACGTTTTATATATTTTTATATTCGCTATAAAATGTGGGTTTAGGTTTGGGGGTATAAGGGGTCCAAAAATCTATATCGCATATCGATAAATTTATAAAACTGCGCTGATACAAATTTCTTAATGATATAAAGGATTTGTAAATATTTTAAGTTTTTAGCTGTAAATACACAGCAATTTTATGTTTTAAACGTTGTAATACGTCCAAATTGTACGTTTCAGCATCAATCAAAGCGTACAAAAATGTACGTTTTGTGCTTGTAAACATTACCTACTAATACCTACATATAAACAATGAGACCAGGCTGGTTTTTGACAGATTCCTAAAATATTTGTGTTTTCTCTTTATTATGACAGGTGGTCTAATGAATTTGTTAAGCACATACAGTGCTTAACATATTTATTAGACTGTATTTATTATTTATTGACTTGCATTGGGTGGCGGTGGTTTAATAAATTGAAGCACTGTATCTCTCTCTCTCTGTAGGCCTATAAGGTTAATACTTTAACAATCCTTAACATTATTGTGATAACATTAAAGGGTAAAGCAAAATTAAAATTGATCGTACTGAAATATTAACTTTTGATGGGCCATAATGAACTTTCAACCATACAGTGTTTATAGTTTGAATTTGTCAGCTTGAGTCATGAGTTGCTCCAACAACAGCTAAAACACATGGCTGGGTTATGATGCACAACCATGCACAATTTATGTAATCACATTGATGTAAGCCCTAACATTCTCCTCTTCTTGTGCATATAGGTCTATATACCAGATGAGGCAGCTCAACTAAAAATCCACATGCTCTATGAATCTAGGTCAACAGACACAAAGGGTTTGTTTAACTTGGAACAGCCAAGGAAACAGGATTCTCTACCTGTCATGCCTTTTATTCCACACATGCGCAAACACAGTTATTTTAAAGGGGTGGTTGACTGTTTTTTTTTCTAGGCTTGATTGTGTTTGTGGGGTGCAGTCTAACATGTGCTAATGCTTCGTTTTTTTAAAAAACGCATTATTTTTCCCATAATTTACCTTTATTCTACAACGCTCAGTCCCTTCTCCCATAAACGTGCTTATCATTTCCTGCTTTTATGAAGCCCCTCCCTCAGAAATACGTGATGAGCTCAGATTGGTTAGCTGGTCCAGTGTGTTGTGATTGGCTAAACCACCTCTAGTGAGCGTCTGAACGTCACACCCCTCACCTCAGTGGCATGCGCTCCGGTTGTATTGTAAACAATGGCATAGTCTATATTGCTTATCAGTTTGAGCACTATTGAGATGCAGAGGATATTAGTGAAGAGGATCACGCAAGAACCTGTGCAAGCACGGCTCTTAATGGTATGTTTTTTGATTGTTGTCTCAAACTTTTAGATACGCTGTTATTTGTAATTGCTACTGCTTCTGTTAGCTTTTAATATACGGTTTTATTTAAAGCAACCGCACACGCGTCCATGTATAACGCTTCTCATAGCTATGTGAAAATAAGTGTATAAATTGAACAGTTCATTGTTGAGAGCTGAGCTGAATGAGAGAGAGAGAGAGAGAGAGAGAGAGAGAGATGCAGAGCGTGTGCAGAGCAGGGCGAGGCCAGGAACAGGATGAGAACGCTGCTTTAGAACATTGATTTTGAAACTTGTGAATCCATTAGAATCGTTAGAAGACAGAATCACGATTCATATATGAATAGATTTGTATGTGCACCCCTAGTTTTCTCTTCCTCTTCTCTAAAGCAGCGCAGCATGGCCTCGCCCCCTTCGCTGCATGTTCCCGGGGGCGGGGTTTGTCTGGATTTGTGATGTCACAAACCCGGGAAGTAACTCGCTTTGCTTTGCCACCTTGCTTTGAGGAACAGAGAGATGCATAGATGTCCTTGGCTTTAAGTTGGGAGGGAAGAGTGTTCAGGGAATTAATCAGAGCCAGAGCATTTGAACTAGCTAAGCTTCAGTCAAATAAATGGGCCACCTAAAACAACACCACCAATTACCACTGATTAAAATGAGGACACTTGGCTTCTGCTCCTTCTTGGCTCTTCAGTTTCAGACATGCAATGTCTCTGTGTTCCATTAGGCAAATGAGGAGAAGACTGCTCATGCAAAACCTATGGCAGTGAACCCTCACATCCAGGAAATGTTATTTGAAATGGTGCTCACGCTTCGCACAAAAGGTGAACACATCAGTGTCAGAAATTCTCTGCCTCCATTTTGTGAATCCTATTTTCAACCTTGAAAAAAGCCCACAGAGCCGAAACAAGCCTCTAATGAACTTCTGCAAAGTGCCACTTTTAATTAGCAGAGAAGGGACCTTAGACAGCTCTCAGGCTATGACAAAGCTGTCATCGTTAGCATGACTAAGAGCTTCATACAACAGCGAGAGTCCCAGAGAGGAGGGCAATGAGACACGAGTAGGAAAAAGGAGGCGGAAGAGCAGATCGAGAGAGAGAGAGAGATAGAGAGAGAGAGAGGAAAAGGTGAAGAAAAAATGAGCGAGAAAGAGTGAGATTTACTGGCGGATTGTTCCAGAAGGATCATTCTAACAGAAAATGGGACATGGAATTGTCATCGGTCTGAAACCGCTGAGCCTCCCATCCGTAGTGATTCCATTTATTTCTCGAGCGAACACTAGGCCGACCCTTTCCCTCCATTGCAGAAACAGGAAGTGCTGTCATACCTGCAGTGTTTGTGTGGGCCGCTCAGGGTCTCGATGACAAAGCACTCCCCGTCATTCAGGCAATAGGCCAGGTCTTTCTCCTGACACGGCTTGAAATGCTCCGATTTCAAAGGCGGTAGAGTTGGTGATGCTGAAGGATAAAGAAGAAAAGAGGAGGAAAATTATGCCATGTAACAGATTAGAAGGACAAATATCTGAGCCAGGTGAGCAAAAGGTTAGGTGAGTGAGTCAGAGAGTCCAAAAAGGTGACTAATTGTCATAATATGGGGGATAATGCCACATATTTGCAGATGAAGTTCAGTGCAAAATAATTTATGTCATTTCAAACCTGTATGACCTTCTTCTGTGGAACACAAAAGATTATTTTTGTTTTGTTGTTTTGGGCCTCATTGACTTCCATTCTGACAAAAACAGCTGAAACAACTGAAATATATATTTTTTAAGTTATACAAAAGAAAGAAAGAAAGAAAGAAAGAAAGAAAGGTTTGGAATGACATGAGGGTGAGTAAAGGGTTAGTTCACCCAAAAATGAAAATTCTGTCATCATTTATCTAGAACATAACATACCAATCCTCTATTACATTTATATTGTATTTACTGTACTGTATGTTTTTCAATATCACGCCATCTACCAGCTTTCTGTATGGATTTCACCATTTTAAACACTGCCAAGATGTACAAGAGCTCTGAAGTCTTTTAGTAGAGTATTTCATCACCATTAAAATCAATAGCTTTCAAAACTTCCCCTTCTACTGTACTTTATAATCTAAGACATCTCAACAGATGGCCACCAAAAAAAACAAACACTTTCAAAGATCACCACATAACTACCAGATAATGCAAGAGACATCATCAATACCTCTCTGAAACAAGCAACCAAATGTCTCCTTATTACTCTGCTGAGTATAGCTTGTTATTAATTCTTGTACAGTGTGCATGAATCTGTTTTGCTCCTGATCCATTACTGAAGGATGATAAATGAGATCAATGAAGAAATCAGTCTCTGACTTCTTAGAATTAATAAAGAAGGCTACTATTTGGGGGAAAAAAAACTTAATTGTGATTAATGATGCCAAGTTCACTTTGCAAAAGCCAAAATAATAAGGTAACCATGCACTTATTATAGTCCTCACAACGTGTGCAAGCTTACCTGCTGAAAATCTGTAAACAGAACTAATAATATACCTGAGAGACTTTGACTGACATTAATAGTTTGAACACAGTAAAAATAAAGACCCTTTGAATGGTTGCCATGGATACAGACCATAAAAAAACTGTCTGGTTAAGTGGACGACGGTAGCTTCATACAACGGACAAACAAGACTGACCACACAGTAAAGGACAGAATCAATTACAACTAAATTATTTTCTACATGGAAATATGTTATGTTCAATATGTTATGTATAAATGTTATGGGCAATATGATTGAAATTTGAACCAAAACAACTCCAGCCTACAACCACAAGTATATCCAACTTTACCCACATACAGAAAAGTACACTCATGTAAAGCAATAAATACCGTATAGCAAATGTCAACTGCTTGATTGTTTATATCATTGCAAAATGTAAACTATAATATTGCACAGTGTTATATTTAAAGGTGCCATAGAATGCATTGATACAATATGTTAAATTGTTCTCTGATATATACATAGAAGGTATGTGGCTTAGGTAAGGGCAAAAAATCTCCAGAAACGGTTTTACATGTACATTTGCAACCCTAGGATTTGTCCCTAGAATGAAATGGCCTGTTTTTACCTTATTTGGAAGGGTCATGAATAATAATGTTGAGCTCTGCTCTGATTGGCTGTTTCACAGTGCGGCTCATTTCAGTAGCTCACACAGCAGGAAGGAAACACAGGGAAATATATATATTTCGATACCGTCTCTCGCAGTTATATCGTTGGGTAATTATACTGTATATAAAATGCGGGCATCAGGGAGCCGCTATTAATATGCGGGGCATTGAAACTGCATTCGAATGCACGATCGCTTTTTACTTTCACTTTCGAGATTTGCGATCGCACGTGCTCTGTGTAAACTACAGCGGCAGTACTTACCACACATTTTACAAGATCAGATGCTTGTCAGTGGTGCTCAGGATCTGTAAATCATTCGCCATCATCCTCAGTCATCTCTCCTGACTCTGTTTATGTGGTAAGTGAAATCTTATGTACTGTAATGTAACAGGCTACCGCTAGCAAGCAGCTAACCATGTCCCTTTAGTGGCTCGCATTATTTTATTAGAACGCGTTATTTGTTTTCCGTGTCTTTCTGAATATAGACACCAACCCATCCCTGCACATCACATCCCCTGCACAGCCTGGAACATAACATTTATTTCCATGATCTGCCATTTTCGCTATTATCCTCGCTTGTTTCTTCACAATACCTGCAGAACTTCT